CCTGGGCACAAAGGGCAGTGCCCGGTTCCACCCAGTTCCCCCCTCCGCCCGGGCCCTTCCCAAGGGCTTTTCCCTCCTGGCTCCCATCCCAGTGGCTCCGTGTCCCAGCTGGAGGAGCTGCCAGTGCTGGGTTGGGAAGAGGGGCCCGTTTGCTGACACTGGTTTGCTCTTGTCCTGCTTTCAACGCCAATAAAACCCTTGGTTGCATCAGCTGGGCCTTCTCGTGTCTCCTTTCCCGTGGAGGGCAGGGAAAACAAGCCCCAGCAGGGGTTTGGGAGAAGATCAGCCTTGGGAAAACCCCTAAGACAGGACCCTGGTTGGGCAGGGACCCTCTTTGTCCTCCTGCAAGTTTCTGGTGGGAATTGCCTTTGCTTGGTTCTTTTTCTGGTGTGGATTCTCCCAGCCCGTCGTTTTTATGGGATTTCTCTCCATTTGATGCAATTTAACAGGTTTGGGAGCCAGCCCAGGGCAATCCCTTGTGTTTGGGAAGTGGTTGCCTCGCTCCTGGATGTCAGGATGTTGCTTCCAGCTTGACCAGTTCCCAGGGACAGTCCAGTTTCCCCAAATCCAGAGGGAAATGTGGGAGTTGTAGATCCTCCTCCTGCTCTCCAGGTGCTGCCGAGGATGTGGAATCCTTGTCAGGAGGACATGAAATCCTTGTCAGGTAGTTTGTGGCTCGGGGGGGGGGGGGGGGAAAAGCAGGACCTGAAATTCCAGGTGGAGGAAGAGGTAGTCCTTGGAGCAGTTCTGATGGAGAAGGTGCAGCCTGCCCTCCCCTGGCCACAGGCAGAGCAGGTGCCTTTTCCAAGGGCAGGATCACAGTTCCATCAGAATCCCCCCCAAAAAAAGATGTGAATTTGTCAGACAAATGACAGTGACCTCACAGCTGTGGCCTTTGAGACACAAAATGCCAAAATGCCAGAAAGACCAAAAGAAAAAATGCCCCTCCCCCTGAGCTGAAGGGTGATTTTATTGCTGATTTTTTATGGCATCGGTGCACGGACACAGGAATGAGATGGGAGTTCAGAAAGAGAAACCTGAATTTAGACCCAAGTTCTAGGTGCCCTGATTCTCCTGGTGATAAAGGGAAGGTTTGGGAAGCTCTGGGAAGGGGATAAAGCAGCCCCAGGAGGATGGTCACAGCCAGATGTCCGAGGTGCAGTCCCCCCCCGGGTACCGCATCTCGTGGGCCAGCGCCGGCCCGTCCGGCTCCTTCCCAAAATCCACCAGGAAGTTTGGATTCACCGCCAGCCCCCCCCTCTCGGTGTCCACGTCGATCTGCAGCATGACAGAGCCCTCCCTGCAAAAGGCACGAGCAAACAGGCGGTGGGAGAAGGGGCTGTGTGGTTAATTGCCTCATTAATTGGTTAATAATTGAGCCCAGGGCCCCTTACCGGAGCAGGTCGGGGTAGAACTGTTTGTCCCAGGCGCTGTACAGGGAGCTGGTCACGTACAACCTCTTCCCATCCAAGCTCAGCTGCAGCATCTGAGGCCCACCTGGAACCTTCTTGCCCTGAAATTTGGGGAGAACAAGGTGCTCAAGCCAAGCTGAATAAAGGAAATGTGGCCACAAGGAGAAAGGAAACAGCCCTGCTCGGAGAGATCCGAAATTCCCGAGGCAGGAATGTCAAATCCACGGCTCTGGGGAGGGAACAGTTTTTATTGGGAGTCTTTTTCCTTCTGAACAAGAGCCTTGGAGTCATTCCAGGTGAGTTCCACTTAATTCACACAATTAACCAGGTAAAAAGGTAAGGGTGAAGGATGTGGAGCTTCCCGGAGTTGTTTTCACGGAATCATGGAATGATTAAGGTTGGAAAAGCCCTCTGAGATCACCAAGTCCAGCTGTTCCCCCAACACCACCGAACCACGTGCCCAGGTGCCACATCCACACGTTTCCCAAACATTTCCAGGGGTGGTGATTCCACCACTGCCCAGCTTTGGTGGCCAACAGGTTTTAATCAAGACCAACTTCAGTTCTCCCACACCCTGAGACCTCCCTCAGTGGGAATAATGTCAGGTCAGTGGTTGAACTTTAGAGGGCTTTGCCAACCTTAAGGATTCCATGACTTTTTTTAAGCTGAGAAGGGAAGATTTAGGTTGGATATCAGGGAGAAATTCTTCCCTGTGAGGCTGGTGAGGCCCTGGCACGGACGTGCCCAGACGTGGCACCTGCCCGGGCCATCAAGGTGCAATTACCTTTAAATATTGTAATTACCTTTAAATATTGTAATTACCTTTAAATATTGGGCATCTTCCAATGGCTTAGGATCAGTTGGGAACACTGACCTGGATGACAAATGGCTCTGGCTGACACTGCAGCTCCTTGTCCTCCAGCACAGTCACAGGGCCCCCCCTGGCAATGCTGCCCCCCAGGAAGACCTGTGGGCAGGGGAGGGGGGAGAACAGGCAGAGAACAGGCAGAGAGCAGGCAGAGAACGGGGCTAAAGCAAACTGGGGTGTTTCTCCTCTTGGAAAAAGGAGGACACCCCTCCTGAGCTGACTCCCAGGGTGGGCAGGGGGGGTTTTTTTCCTCACCTGCCCCACGAGCCGGGGCCGCCGGCGGTCGGAGATGTCGTACTGCCGCACGTCCCCGTGCAGCCAGTTGCTGAAATACAGGAACCTGTCGTCCAGGGAGATCAGGATGTCGGTGATGAGACCTGCAGGAGGGAATTCCAGGGCTGAGTCAGTCAGATCAACACCAAAGCAGCCCCAGTCCTGCCCTCTGCCAAAGCTCTGCTCGCAGAACCTCAAACTCACGAGAGCAGGAGGGTCACAACCCACCCTGGAAGCCCAGGGCCTGCTCCAAGGAGGTTCAGGCTCTACCAGCATTCCCAGGGTATATTCCTGGACACCCTCAGGCCCAAACTCCCAAGGATTCTTCTGGAGAAAGTGACCTCAGGGATTGGAGCAGCGTGGGAGCAGAGCACAACCTCAACCGGTCACCTCAGAACCCCTCCCACAAATTTGGTCTTTTTTTTGCCATTTAAGGACAAAATTAGGCCAAAAGCTGCTCTGGACCAGGGAACTGATGAGGAGAACACCCCATTTCTTTCCCAACATGGTCCTACTAACCAGGCATGTCTGGGAGGAGCCATCCTTGCACCTTCTTGCTGGGCACTTCGATCACCTTCTCTGCTGCCCAGTCCCCGTTCTGCAGGAGGGAACACGGAATTCTTATCTAAGGAGTCACTAAATCGTGGAATATCCTGAGCTGGAAGGGGCCCACGAGGATCCTCAAAGTCCAGCTCCTGATGGTTGCTTTGCTGAGCTCCAGAGGGCTCAGCTGGGCTTGGCAGAGGGAATGCAGAGGCTGTGGGAATGCAGAGGCTCCCCCAACCAAACCCCTTCCAGGATCCC